GGGCTGCATGAAGCACAAACTGGAATCAAGATTACCTGGAGAAATATCAATAACCTCAGATATGGAGATGACACCACCATTATGTCAGAAATTGAAGAGGAACTAAAGAGCCTTTTGATGAAAGTGAAAGAGGAGAGTGAAAAAGTTGGCTTAAAACCCAACATTCAGAACACAAAGATCATGGCATCCGGTCCTGTTACTTCATGGCAAACAGATGGGAAGAGACAGTGGAAACAGTGACAAAATATTTATTTGGGCTCCAAAATCACTGCAGATGGTGATTGCAACCATGAAATTAAAAGATGCTTGCTCCTTGGAAGAAAAGTTATGACCAACCTAGACAGCATATTAAAAAGCAGAGACATTGCTTTGCCAACAAAGGTCCATCTAGTCAAAGCTATGGTTTTTCCAGTCATCATGTATGCATGTGAAACTTGGATTATAAAGAAAGCCGAGTGCCGAAGAATTGATGCTTTTGAACTGTGGTGTTAGAGAAGACTCTTGAGCATCCCTTGGACTGCAAGAAGATCCAACCAGTCCATACTAAAGGAAATCAGTCCTGAATATTCACTGGAAGGACTGATGCTGAAGCTGAAACTCCAATACTTTGGCCACCTGATGCAAAGAGCTGACTCATTTGAAAAGATCCTGATGCTGGGAAAGATTGAAGGTGGGAGAAGAAGGGGATGACAGAGGATGAGACGATTGGATGGCATCACTGACTCAATGGACATGAGTTTGAGTAAACTCTGGGAGTTGGTGATGGACAGGGAGGCCTAGTGTGCTGCAGTCCTTGGGGTTGCAAAGATTCGGACACTACTGAGCGACTGAACTGAACCGAACTGATTGGGAGAGACAATGTAATCACAAGGGTGCTGATAAGAAGTCAAGAAGGTCAAGGGTAGTAGGAAAGGGCATGACAAAAACAAAAGCCTGGAGTGAAGTGCTTTGACGATGAAAAAAGGGGCCACAAGTCAAAGAATGTGAGCAGCCTCCAGGAGCTAGGAAAGGCAAGAAAATGGATTCTTGCTTACAAGCTTCCAGAAAGAATGTAGTCTTGCTGACACCTTGACTTTTGGACTTCTGACTTTCAAGAAAGGGAGAGACTCAACCTGTGTTGTTTTAAACCACAAAGTTTGTGGTCATTTGTTACAGTGGCAATAGAAAACTAATACGATAGGTAAAAACAATGTACCTATCATATCCAACCTAATATAAGCATGAAATGTAGTAAAGTGAAATAAAAATATCACAGATATTTTTCATGTTATTAGTTTATTTCTACTCCTAAACATGCAAAATCAAGTGTTTTAGGAGAAATTTTTAAAAAATACTGTATTTTCCTTTTTAGCATTTATCTATTGTACTTAAGGAGATGTATGAGTGATTCATTTATCCCCAGGAGGGCTTCAGAGTCATTCTATTTTTGAAGGGCCCAACAGTATGATCAGACCCAGGCATTCCTTGCTGATTTGGAGGCTGGTGTTGATGCTGGATTAAGTGTTTTATAGCGATCAGTAAGCTGATGAGGAAAAGGAGCAGAGGCTTGGGCAATCATGTGTATTTGTATATGAATTAATATATGCATATATATATCCATATATAATTATTTAAAAATGTCACATGGGAAAAAAGCTAAGTTTTTTAGTTTAGTTGGAAAGTTAGAGGTAGTCTCCAGGAAGAGGTGGATATTGGACTGAGACTTTATGTACACAAGGGGCAGAAATCCTGTTGACAGTAGTAAGAATGGCAATTCAATTTAAATGGTAAAGTTTCAGAAGGAAAGAGGAGATGGGGAAATCTAAGCATTCTGACCAGAGCTGAGAGCCTGTGGGAGGAGGAAAGAATAAAGTAGAATGGGCCAACTGAATGAGAAGTTTAAACCAGGTGCTAATGGAGATAAACATGCAGATTTCTGAAGATAGAAATGACATAAGAGAATTATTTGTGGAATCGAAGGATCAAGTATCTTAACCTGTATAAAGACCTAAAAGATTTAAAAGAAGCTTGCTGTTTGATATGCTGAACAATTAAAGCATTATATTAAAAGACATGCAGGTATGAGAAAACAGAAATTTTTAAAATTTATTTATTTGGCCTCGGGGCTTGTGGGATCTTAGTTCCCTGATCAGGAATTGAACCCAGGCCCTCAGCAATGAAAATGTGGAATCCTAACCAATGGACCATCATGGAATTCACTATAAATTCTTTTAGATGTTTGCTATGTGTAAGCCAAACAACCTCAGTATTAACATGGAATTAAACACTACTCCTAGCACACAGGAAAATAGCAAATTTTGTATTACTTTTCCTCATGAGCACATTGAATGTGTACTGGGCTTCAATGCCCTGTTGAGAGGAAAAGCTTACCAGTCACGATACACCCATGTAAGCCAATCAAAAGCGCGGCACTGTGGTACAGCGGGAGCGGGGTATAGATTACGTCATCCTCTGTAATCCCGCAGACAAGAGCAAGGCCAATTCCGTACCAAAGGCGAAGATGATTGATCTTTGCAGCTTTCGGGAGACCTACACAAAGGCACAAGAGAAGCATGAGGGAATCAAGACACATGGTCTGGGAGAGAGATGTGTCTTAGGAAGATTCGTCTTCTAGTGATTACAAGTTTGCATTTGGTGAGACCAGAAGTTCACAGTTTTTTCTGTAAAGGACCAGATGGTAAATGCTTTAGGCTTTGCAGGGTCATAAGTCTCTATTGCAACTACTCAACTCTGCTATTATAGCTGAAAGCAGCTAAACACAAAAAGTAATGAACTTGGCCCTGTGGACATGAAACTTTATTTACAGAACTGGTGGTGGTGTGGTGTTTGTGACCCACAGGCTATAGTTTGCTGACCCCTGAGTTAGCTGGTTATTAGAGTAGTAAGATGAGGAAAAGTGAATGAATGTCTATTGAATTTCCGCTTTGGATCTACCATCTTGCTAAGAATCCTTGAACGACAGGGGTTTGAACTGCTTGGGGCCACTTATATAAGGATTTTTTTCAGTGGCAAACACACCCATGGTTGGTTGAATCCATGGATGAAAAATCACAGATGCAGAAGAACCTATATGGAGGGACTTCTATAAATTATATGTAGATTTTCTGCTGTGTGGACCCTCGTATTGTTCAAGGGTCAACTGTGTTGTCAAATTTTCACTCAATTCTCATAATTAATGATATAAGTAGAATTATATTCTCTATTTCACAGATGAGAAAACTGAGACTCAGAGACAATACATAGCCTATCCATCCTATCTCTTTCCTTCATAGCCACTTCTATGAATTTCTTACGTACTTTTCTAGAGTTTTTTATGTAAATATAGGCTCATTTGCTCATATGTTCTTGCCCTTTCCCCCAATTATAAAAAAAAAAGCATACTATTCTGCACTTCTCCCTTCACTTAACAAAGTATTTTTAAGTTATGTCCATATTTGTAAGTAGAAATTTCCCTTATTTTTTCATCCATTTATTCTCTCTGCATCTACTCCTTTGTGTGTGTGTTTTATAGTTTGTTTACACTATTTTGCAATTTCAAATGACTCTGGTCCACATGTGAAAAAACCTGGCACTTCACACTGTGTATGATGTAGGATAAATTTGCTAATGTGAGACTGCTGGGCCAAAAGGTATCAGACCTTGTAATTTGGGTAGACACTGCCACTTTGCCAGCTATTAGGGCTGTCCCCATTGACGCCCCGCATCAGTGATACATGAGTGCACCTGTTTCCCCATAGCCCTTCAAAGGTGTCCTTTCAAATGTTGGGATTTTTGCCAATCTGAAAGGTGAAAAAATGGTATCTCAGTGTATTTTTAGTATACTAAGTACATTTGTATTTTCTTAACTATAATTTACGTAAGTTTTTTTATAAGACTCAATTTGAAAGAGTATGCTTATATCGTTGTGCATGGGAGTCAGTTTAGTTGGGGAGGGCATGAAGTCATCGCAAAGCAGATGGGTCTAGAGTTTAAGACCTGAGTGGGTCAACTGGCTTTGTGAAGAGAAAGGCAATTCTGTTTAGATTAAGATGCTTCACTATTTGATAGTATTGCCTAAATAAAAGCGATTTGTTATAAGGCAAAGCAGTATGACTGGCAAACTACCATTATTGTAAACACAGTTCACAATTCATCATCTTTGATGTCATTAGTATTAATGCTCCATTCTATACTAATAATGAGAAGCAGAAGAAAGCATCAACAAATCAATTGTATTCACCTTGAAAAAAATATTATCCAGATAGTAAAAACTCGGAATTATATTTTTTAAAAAAGAAACACACATCTTTTGCTGGTGTTAAGCACTTTCAGAAAACTTCCTAATTTAAACTTTTGTATTAATGAAGAAATAATATTTGGTAACTATTATATAATTTTGTGCTAATGACTGCCTTTGAGTAACAGGGAAAACATTTTGTTCTCTGATTGCTTAAATGAATTCTTTTTATTAATGTTTATACGAGTAACTTGGCAGATATTTTATTCAGAGATAAGAAGAAAGGTAAAATAAACATCAACCCAATTATATTTCAATTAAATCTAAATTCTGAATTATGGGATTGGATGAAAGAGTGCTTATTGTCTTTTCCCCCTAAAATGGGTTTTATACTTCATAGCAAACCTGCAGTTGTGAACAAGTTCTGTACTTATCTATTTAGTATTAAGACTAGAACTCCCAGTCACTAGTTAAGGGCTTGTTTTACCTCAATTACTTCCCAAATCAAAGTTTACAGTTTAGTTTTACCATTCTATTAAAAATGAGGGTATAAGTTCCATATATTGAGGTAGTTCTGGATGTAGTGGAAGTATCTGGTTAAACCATGTCATCCTACCATTCTGTTGACATGGAGAAATAGAACTTTTGACAAATAAAAGAATGATAGCTATTATGCTCTGGAGATTAGCTTTAATAGGTCATCCCAAGCCACCCCTCTTCATAAGGCTCAAAGTAACCTTTCTCTCTAATGTTTGATTATTTTACAAGTAGAATGCATGCTAGAATTATCTGCTTGAGTTAAAATTTTAACCAAATGACTCACATATTCAACTTCCCAATATTATTAAGAATAATTAGCTTCCTATCCTTTCTTAAATGTATCTCTCAGTCTTCATATGATGACATTTTGGTAACATTTCCCCTGACCTTGAGTAGGCAGACACCAAACAGCTATCAGATGGATGAACTAGGAGGTATTCTGGCAGAGAGGTCAGTGGTATGAGCTGTGGAGTCAGCCTAGCAAAATGAAGGCTGGCACTTCTACTTCCTGTCTTGGAAAGTTCTTAAATTCTCTAGGCATCAGTTTCTGAATCTGTAAGGCAGGAATAAGAGTAGTACCTGTCTTAAGAGTGGTGGGAGACATGTATGAACAAATGCCGCAGAGCTCCTAGAAAGAGCACCTGCTACACCCTACCTTTAACGTTGCCTGTTCCACGTAGCAGTGTTCCAGTAATACTGACAATTGGCAGTGTTTTCTCCTGGCAGCTTATGTAAAATAATAGTACAGTTTACACCGAAGGTGTGGGACATCCTAGATTTGACGAAATACACCATTTTAGGCCCTGAGCTAAGAGCCATTCTACACCCACAGAACCAAACAGCTTCAAGTCATTGTTGCATGGAAAGATAGTGGTCAAAATGTTTGTACAAATATAACCCCATTACTGTTCTATAGTCTTCTTTGGTGGTCCACTTATAATTGGTTATGCATTGTATATGGATGCTGGATAGAGTATAATCAAAATGCTGGATAGAGTATAATCAAAATGCGATCATTAAAAAAATTCCAAAACCCGTTCAGTGCCAAATCTTAATCAAAAAGCAACAATTATTTTGAAAAAAATCCTAACAACCTATTCAGTGCCAAATCTTATCATCACCATAATTATTTTTGTAGTTCTTGGTTAACCTCTCTACCTGTTCTATACACCAGCTGGGGGAAGTATGCGTACCTTAGAGAAACCCAAGTGGTTTCATATGCTATGGAATAAGATCATACTTCCTGCAGGCAATGAGCTAAATCCCCTGAAGTATTAGTTATCTAAGCTTCGCCAAAGAAAGAGAGCATTTAAAAATCTAACCCAACATTTAACTCTTTCAGGATAGGTCCATTGCTTTGAGAATCCTCTATTGTTTACCTGTGGTTCCAGAAGTATAAATATATAAGGCAGGGGTGGAAAAGGTAACTTCCGACCTCCAGGATTCTGGGACAGGTTCACTTGACACTTCATCCACTTTGTTTAAGAAAGAGTTGACCCCATCTGTGTTAGAAGTTCTGCTCACATAATAGACAGCCACATCATCTTTCTTCAAGCTTGGCAGCACCTCTTCAACAGCGGCTTGTAGTTCTTAATTTAATAAAAGAAAAAAATCCAAGCAAACTAAATTAGTCCATTCAAGCTCTATTAGTGCAATAAATTTTGTAGTGATTGTGTTTCCACTAAGGGTTGTTAAAACATGTAGACACAGTAATGTTTATAGTTATGTATTTTTAACATGTAATTTACCACATCTGAAAATATCACAAGATCCCAATATTTAAGGGAAGGCTGGGTTTTGATGGTTTAAAAAGCAACAGATGATTGAAATCTGTACATTACATGGCAAGCACAAACAAAATGGATATAAGGATAAAAACCAAGATTATATGTGTATGACTTATATGCATATCTGATATATATACCTCAAAACACTCCAGAAATGAATTTAGTTATTCCCAATGTATGTCCCACAGGACCAGAGATTTTAAAAAAAGAAAATTTTAAGGAAAAAGAGAAATGAAAAGAAGGGGACCATGCTACTGAAAGGATAATAGAAGCTAACTTTATGTAACACATTTAAAAAATATCTGCAACAAGTAGTTCTACTAGGAAGGTTCAGCTGATCTGAGATATAAGCTCCAAATTTCATAAGCACATTATCCGACCTAAGAAAAAAAAGGACTGATTAGCATGTTTTTCAAACTCTGAGTCACAAAACAGCAGTGGATTGTTAAAATCATTTAAAGTGATGATTATTCTAAAAAATAAAATAGAAAGTATATCACACATAGGAAGAGGTAAGTATTCTTTTTTTTTTTGAGTTTCAGCTATGTGAGTGTGTGAGTACTGAGCTACACACAAATGTAGTTTTTATAGGGGAAGGTAAAAAATTTTAAAGGCATTGATGTAACGTGCAAACCACATTTCAGGTTTGTTACTTGAATTTTTGTGCCATTTTAAATTTTATTTTAAATTTTAAATCATAAGATGAGATGCTCTTTAAGCTCCTTTGTTTTGAATTGTGATAACTGAAGTGGATAGGCTTATTCTTAATAGGAAGGTGACTCAATATCCCAGGGAATTTACCTTAGGGAGGCTATATCTGATTCATATTATATGCTTTGTTTTTCAGATATTTACATATGATATCTCCATCAAGACATGAGATAGCATCTGGATAGATGCATTTAAGAAGTTAAAAAAATTTTTAACCAAAGCAGTCATGCACCTGATAAATATAAATGAAATAGTACAAAAGAGTTTATAATGCAAGTCAGTAGGCCCTTATCTCACAAATAAACCTGCTGCCTGGAGGCAATGACTTTTAGGGTTTTTTTTTTTTTTTAGCTGTTTCTTCTAGCAGTCACTTCTCCATCACCAAATTACATACTTTTCCTGCTACCTCATGACTTACCATTTTTGAAACCCACCCCCATTTCCCCCTTGTTCACCTTCAACAGTTACTATTTTCACTTTATGTTGTCAGGGTTAATGATATTTTTAAATCTATTCTGAGACTATAATTCTGTCTTTCTAGCTTTGTCTATGTGTTGACTCTAGAAATTCTAGAACAAATAATCAGGATTGACAAGATAATGACAATGTAATTATTTCAAATAGGACTGTAGACCCAAGTAACACACTATAATCATCTTTCCTTTCTTAAACAGGTTTCTCCTGGAGTGTCTACTGGCTATCATTCCTTAATGTACTATCTGTCTCAGTTCTTTTGCAACCTCCATCAGATCAGCTTATTCCTTTTGCTTCTCTCTTCTCCTCTTTCATTTTGAATGGCTGCTCTTTAGTTCTTCAGTATTTCGAGAAGATCATCAGAAATATTACTGTTGCAAAAACAGTAACTGGAGTGCTAAGGTCCCTTGCCAGTGCCGTGGTTCAGATTCTCATTATTTCCTATCGAAATTGTCACAATAGCTTCCTGACTGATCTCCTTGCCTCTAACCTCTCCCTGCTTCCAGTATCAGTGACACTACTGCCCGACTTCTTGTTCCTGCCTTGTTTAAAATCCTTCAGTGGCTGCTTATCCCTTGTGATAGAATCTTTCTAATGCAGTGGATGGTTCTAAGGTTCTTCTCAGCCTACATCCCCCGCCCCGATTTTTCTGATGTCATTTTCTTAACTACCCTTGTCCCCTTTCCTCTAACCACACTGATTTACGTGAAGTGAATGGAGCCATAATTCTCACATCTTACCACCTTTGTCCAGGTGGTTTCATCTGCTTCAAATGCCCTCCTGCCCACCCCACCCCCGCCCCACCCCAGTCACTGGAAAAACTGTTCATCCTTCAAAACAGCCTCATTGCATTTAACTCTGTGGTCCTCCCACAGGAGTTTGCATTATACATTTAGCAGTGTGTTTAGTATGTGGTGTGACATGCTTCACTTCTTTTTCTCCTCTATTTGGCAGTGAAAATTTTGAGGTTAGGGGATTATAACTTGATCATCTTGGCCTTGCCATAAGTGCTCAACAAATGTTTACAGCTGAAAGAATCTACACAAAGTATTGTATTAGCCACTGGGGAAGACAGAGGAATAAGCTAGGGCTGTTGACTTAAAAGGATTTAGATATTGCAATACTGTGAGTTGATAAATCTCCAGTAAAACGCAAAATTAAATCATTTTTGTGATAGAGGTATGTCTTATATCCAAGTAAGGGATACAAAAGTAAATTAAAAACAAAACAAAACTACTATTGCTACTTAAAGAATTAAGAAATCTCTCCCTCTCCCTCTCTTCTACCTGAGACTGAGCCTATTTAGTTAAATAGGGTGTTCATAAATTACCTGGATTATTTCCTATTCCTCCCTCTCTCCCAACAGTTACCTGACGTCTATTTAAAGTGTGTCTCCTGGGTGCACGGTTCTCAGCACTGGAAGCAACAGTGTGTAGAGCAGATACTGTTTTCACAGAGCCCAGGTCTAAGGGGGAGGAATCAAGAAATAATCCTTTAAAATAAGGTGTCATAGGTGGTGCTTTGGAAGCGCGGAGGAGGGGCACAAAAACAGCCCAGAGGAAGTTAATCTCAACTGAGACCTGAAGGGTGAGTAGGAGTTGGCAAGATGAAGATCCACTGAGATGGACTGAGCCTGTCTGCAGCCAAGGGACAGCTTATGTAAAGACTCACAGGCAAACAAGTGAGCTTTAGTCACTCAGTCGAGTTTGACTCTTTGTGACCCCAATGGACTGTAGCCTGTCAGGCTCCTCTGTCATGGGATTCTCCAGGCAAGAATACTGGGGTGGATAGTCATTCCCTTCTCCAGGGGATCCTCCTGACCCAGGAATCGAAACTGGGTCTCCCATGCTGCAGACAGATTCCTAACTCTCTGAGCCACCAGGGAAGCCCAGAGCCAAACAGCAGGATGCCAGAGCAGCTCAAAGAGGCTAAAGCTGACTGCAACACAGAATGAGAGGGGAAAAGGTTGGAAGAAGAAGCTGGATGTAGGCAGGGACCAGGTCTCTGGCTTACGTTGAGTACATGGGCTGGAGAAGGCAAGGACCAGAGGTAGGGAGGCCATTTGGTAGATCAAACTTTGCATTAAGGTAGTCACAGAGCATAGAGAGAAGTAGATGCATTTAAGAGATGTTTGGGAGGTAGAACAGACAAGATTTGGTAAGTCTTGATGAGAGAAAAATTATAAGTCAAAAGAAACTTTAATTTTTTCTGTAATATTTTGAAAGAAGATGTATGCAGGCATTAGTGATAGATCTAAAATTAGTAGTTTCTTATATAATTTATAATTATTATATAAAATAATAATAGTAATAATAAAATAAACAGCCAACTCATTGGAAAAGACCTTGATGCTGGGAAAGATTGAAGGCAAAAGGAGAAGAGGGCAGCAGAGGGTGAGATGGTTGGAAGGCATCACCTTATTCAATGGACATGGACTTGGACAAACTCCAGGAGATAGTAAGGGTCAGGGAGGCCTGGTATGCTTCAGTCCATGGGGTAACAACTTAGTGACTGAACAACAACAACAACAGAATAATAAAGGTAAAAGGAAATGCAATTAAGCAGGTATCATGCTTGATCAGAGTTCAAGTAATTTGGACAATTGTGGCTTCTGTTCCCTCATGTTTCCACTTGGCCCTCTGCATGCTTTTGGTTTAGAATCTCTGACCTTTCACAGAGATCATCTTATCTGAAGGGAAGGCCATTGCCCCTGCCCAGCACAGTTTCTTTACTTGACCTCTGGGCTCTTGGTGTAGAATTTACGTTTGGATATTGACTTGAGGTTCCAGTGGCTCCCAATCATATCAAGGCATACCTCATATGTCCTATACTGACCTTTGCTTTGCCTGCCTGATGCAAAGAGCCAACTCATTGGGAAAGTTCTTGATGCCAGAAAAGACTGGGGACAGGAGGAGAAGAGGGTGTCAGAGGATGAGATGGTTGGATGGCATCACGGATTCAATGGACATGAGTTTGAGCAAACTCAGGGAGACAGTGAAGACAGGGAAGCCTGGTGTACTGCAGTTCATGGGGTGCCAAAGAGTCAGACACAACTTAAAGACTGAACAACATATGTCCTATGGTAGCAGACTTTTCCCCTTTAAACTAAAGATGCAATATTTATAATAAATACATCTATATACACATATATAAAGTGAGATTGGAAGGGAAATTCTGGATGTGAATGCAACTCATTAACTGTATATTTAATATTTAATGTCTTTTCTTTTTTTTTTAATGTCTTTTCTTAAATCTGTTATAAATAGGACTGGTCCCCACATTTTCTGCTTCACACATGAATTTTTTTGGTAATTATTACTATAAAGTCTGCTTAAGATTAAGTGAAAAGTGAAAGTGTCAGTTGCTCAGTTGTATCCATGTGCCCATACTGTTGTGTCTTTCTGTGCCCATGGACTGTAGCCCACCAGGCTCCGCTGTCTATGGCATTTTCCAAGCAAGCACACTGGAGTGGGTAGCCATTCCCTTCTCCAGGGGATCTTCCCAACCCAGGGATCAAAGCTGAGTCTCCTGCATTGCAGGCAGATTTTTTACCATCTGAGTTACCAGGGAAACCCACTTAAGATAGATGTGGCAATCAACAAGGACATATAAGATCA